TTTCCCGTGGGAACGGGCGCTGCCGGCTGCTACGGCGAACGAGTCAGTCTCGCCCTCGATCGCCGGTCGTCTCGCGCTTTCATTCCACGTTCCGCTGCGGACTGACCGTGCCTAAGTCGTCGCCCGGCCAGGCGTGGTGGCCTCACCAAGACTCTCGATTCGTCAAAACGCCGTCATACGAGCTGGAAAATAAAAATTTTAATCGAACCTGTCCGGTGTAGATATATTCAGTTGGACGGTACGGTCCTAGCACAATAGGCACAATTTATATTCTAGGGCTTGCTGGAGCGCGCGTCCGGACGACCGATTCGGGGGGCTAGCATCAGACTGTACCCGCTCTGCGAGCGAGCGAGCACCCCAGCGCATCGAGCTTGCTAGCGAGTGCCCCAGCAGAGGGCCCACACGTGTTGCCCTGGACCTCGCCCGCACCACCAGCCGCTTTCTACGCGTATCGATCTACTTTTGAAACATCCAGATACAACAGTTGCAACATACAAAAAGAAGGCAGACACTTGAAACGTGCGTTTGAAACACTTGAAAAAACACCTGGAAAAGACTTGAAAACCATTGCAAACATATGCAACATCCAGATGAAACACTTGCAACAAGAAGTATGAGACACCTGAAACATACGCTTGCAACGTACATGTATATGCAACATCCAGATAAAAACACTTGCAACATACGTCTGATACAAATGAAACATTTAGAACATACGCTTGAAACATGTGCAACATTCCGATCTACTTTGCAGCATCCAGATCTACTTTTGCAACACCGATACGAAACACTCGCAACATACCTCTGAAACATCTGAAACACATAAAACATATGTTTGCAACATGCGGTTTTAGCCCAACATCTCCTGGCTGCTTGGGAATGGAAGCTCGTTAGCGTGTAGAGTTCACCGGTGTAGAGCTTGCCGGTGGTGGAGCTTGCCGCTCCGGTGGAGAAGGCCGCGATAGGTTTGGTGGAGAAGGCCACGACGGATCTAGCACGAGCTGTCACCGCTAAGGTGGAGAAGGCCATCCGCGTGCTGGAGAAGGCTGCGGTGGACGGGAGACGCGGTGGAGATGGAGGAAGGCAGGCGGCCACGGTGGGCTAGAGGCGCGATGGAGATGTAGGAAGGCGGGCATTTAGATGTCGGGGAGAATGCCGAGGCGGCGCGGGGGAGTGAGGTCACGGCGCCGCGGAACGAAAGTGTCAGAGTGTTGGAAGTCTTCTGGAGAACGGAAGCGTCTGAGTGTTGGAGACGATACAACTGTTGGGCCGTTGGACTGACCGCGGCCCGCGAACTGGTGCGTCTGGACGATTGGACACCCTCAGCACACCATTTCTGATTCTATTTGGATAGTCTTAACAAGATAGTTTTTCTATACTTGTCAAATAACATAGACATTAGAAATCATATTCTCAATGAATAGTTTTTTCAAAATTATTTTTTATCTAATCATATATCTTCTTTTCTATCATGTACCTATAATATTTTTTACATCTTGATCCTTTCACCTTGTTTTCTCTCAGGTTTGTGTGCACTTTAGCGTTCAATTTTTTAAAGACTCGTTGTCAAGTGATGGTACTAAAATGGCCTGGCTCCCAAGGCTTACCGAGGAAAATTGAGAGTAAGGGATCGTTTGGTAGAGATTCAACAAGCGCTCCCAAAGCTGTTTTGCCTATTAAGGCTCTGTTTAGTTCCTAAAAATTTTCACCTCAAAATGTCACATCAAATCTTGCAGCACGTGCATGGAGTACTAAATGTAGAGGAAAAACAAAACTAATTGCACAATTGGGTGAGAAATCGCGAGACGAAACTTTCGAACCTAATTAGTCCATAATTAGACACTAATTGCCAAATACAAACAAAAATGCTACAGTAGCCAAACCCAAAATAATCGCCATCTAAACGCGCCCTAACTTACGAAACAGCTCCAAATATCGCAGCTCCTCGTGTGAATCTCTAGAAAACCTATGAAACAATTGTTTAGCATCTGATGAAGCCAAAAAAACTGCTCACACCAGTTTGCTAGACTCACCTACAAGTCAAGATACACTTTTGCCCTCCTCGCTAGTGCTACAGGTGGCGATGCGAGAGCAGGAGCGGTGTTGCAACCGGTAGCGGCCCGTAGCCCGGCGTGCCCCCAGGCAGCGATGCATGGCTTGGAGGGCCGCCTCCGTGGCTCTCTGTGGATGAGCGCACCCGGGACTCACGGGCGTGGATTCGCATAGACACGTGGGAACACTAGGGCTAGTCAGAGGCGAGGGAAGATGAAAGATGAAGTGGAGGACGGAGCCAATCAGTAGGCGTGCAGTGGAGAAGATAAGGTGGAGAGCAGAGGAAAAATGTACAATAAGTGGAGAATAAGATATAGCATATTATATACATTTCATCTTTTTTAACAACTAGAAAAAACTATTTTACCAAACATTTTAAAAAAATGGTTTAGCCCAATCAGCTGAGCTGCTTCACAGCCGAACTCCAATCTTGAGGTCTTGGCGACCAAGCACTGTGGTCCACATGCGGGTATTGAATATAAAGCTTCCACCGTCACCAAAAGGAATTCAAAATTTTGACCGGCGAAGAAGGTCAGGTAGCCTAGCCCCTGTTTTTAAATTTTGATTGATGATGACTTTTGAACGGGGAAAACAAAAGGAGACCACTCCACTGTGCTGTACTGTCAATCCAAAATGGCTGAACGCTGCATGTCCAGTCCAAGCCACTAGAAATCAATCAGGTGACGCGTTGCGTAGAAAATCAGAGTGGCATTGCCCTAATAACTTTCTCTGGATGTCACCACGCCCCACTAGCTAAAGAGAAAGAACGTACTCGCTCCATTAAAAAAATGTAATTTTAGGTCCAAGACCACTAGTCAAACTTTCTTAAATTTAGCCTATAAAAAAATATCAACATGTCTATAAACAGATTTATGATAAAAATATATTTTATAATTCATCTAATTATACTTATTTATTATAAGATATTAGTAAATTTTTATATAGAAATGAGAATTGTATTTTTTTTTAGTAAAGGACCAAAAAAAGAGTGCGACGTTTCGTCGAACCAATTTGCAGTTAAGTATAGTTACATGCGTATTACGAGGAACCATTTCAGGATCGTGAAATCTTTGTCTTTAGCGTGGTTGGGTTCACTGGATCTTGTAGGTTCCTGATGTTGCCGCCGTATGCTAGACGTCGTCCTCGACCATATAGTATTGATTAATTGGATGGACTAATTTGATCCAGATCTTATTTGGTCAAATTAAACTCGTTGCATAACAAAGACTACTAACCCACATCGTTAGCAGTCATGGCATTCAGCCATGATATCTTGCTGTGTTGAGAGGAGAGATCTGTTCTATTTGACACATCGACAGACGACGACATGGTTGCTCTTGTTATGGTAAAAGACAGGAGCTTGCGTTCAGCTGTTCGCTTGATCGTTTATGTGGTTTATAAGCCGACTGATGCTGTTTTGTTGTGAGAAAAAAACACTGTATCATAACTGATAAATATTGCTGATACGATCAAGCGAACAGAGAACAACGATAACACCCTCTAGGCTCTAGCAAACAAAAACAAAGAGGCGGAGAATCGTGTTTTTTCTCTCTCAAGAAAACTAGTATCCATGTCCAAATAGTTGGCATTTCTACCACTTTATTTGTTTTGGAATATCTAGCATTTTATGTTCCTCGAAACAAACATTTTTTCCCATTTTTCTCTGATAAGAACAGGATCTCTTTCAGCACAACTATTAAATAAAATATTGTGCAATGTATTAATGTATTTTTTCTTGAAGAACTTGGTCGGGGATGTTATATCATACTCCCTTCGTCCAGAAAAGAATGTAATTCTCACTTCCCGAGAAGTCAATCAGTTTGAACTTTGATTAAAATTATATAAAAACACTAACATTAGTGATGCAAAATTAGTATCATTAAATTAGTCATAGAATATATTTTTATAATAAATTTATTTAGAGACATAAATATTAATATTATTCGTTATAAACTTAGTCAAACTTAAACTACTTTGACCTGCACGGATTTCATAATTACATTCTTTTCTGGACAGACGGAGTATAAGAAGAGGAACAACCCTGGTATTACATTCTTTGTAAAAAAAAACCCTGGCATTACATTTAATCAAATCATCGTATTGATCATCGTGCTAAGAACCAATGGCCTCGCCGATTCAGGGTACGACGGTAGGTCAAATTATTTTATTTTAACGACAGACTCTTGGCGCGCCACGGTTTACACGTTGTGCGTCCCTCTCCCCCCGGTTTCGTCCTTATCGGGAATGACGGAACCTTCCTCTCTCTGGCTGCCAGCGGCCTTGCCGTGCCGGTGGAACCCATAATTTACTCGTAGCCCAATCAAACCACCCACACAACACAACGCGGTGCCCATAGAAAATCCGTCCGGCGGACGCGGGCCAGCCAGGCGTTTGGCCCCACTGGTCACACCGCGTTTTTCTTTTGATGATCCAGAAAAAGGCCAAGCCGACCAGTCCCAATCAATCAATCCACCGTTCGCCGGCCCCACCCACCACCCTCGGACCACCCGCACGGCTCGGCTCCGCTCCGTTCAGCTCAGCTGGCCGCTGACTGGCTGTGGGTGGCTATAAACACCCGCCTCCTCCCCACCGCAGCACCGCACGGCGCACACGGGCTCGGCAGGCAGCCAGAAACCACCCGAAATCACCCCCGTTTCCGCCCAGAAACCCCGGCCCGCTCCGCACGAGATATTTCCTTTCCTCTCCACCCCCCTCGTCCGAAGCGAAGCAACGCCAGGCGAGGAAAAGGTTAGGCAAGCTACTGCCTGCTGCTACGCAAGCTCTCTCAGAAGTCAGATCCGTGGCGCTGACGAACCGGGTGGGATCGATCCCCCATCCCCGTTCCGGTTCCGGATCTGAGCCAACAGCCGGGAGCTCGAGCTGATTGCTGTCTGTGTTCCAGGGAGAGAAGAGCAGCAGGTCGAGGAGCGACCTAAGCTGAGAGGAGGATGAGCACCGTGGCAGCCATGGCGTCGTCGTCGCTGAACCCGAACGCGCCGCTCTTCATCCCGGCGGCGTACCGGCAGGTGGAGGATTTCTCGCCCGAGTGGTGGGAGCTCGTCGAGACCACCGCCTGGTTCCGGGACCACTGGTTCCGCCAGCACCAGCTCCACGACGCCGCCTTCGCCGACGGCGCTGGCGCCGACGACTTCGACGTCGCCGCGCTCCTCCCCGACGACTCCGTCGACCTCCTCGACATGGTCGACACCGACGATCTCTTCTACGCGCCCGACGTCCACCAGGCCGCCAAGCCGGCGCTGCTGCCCGGGTACGACCTCGACGTGCTCAGGGCGCTCAGCCTCAGCTCCCCCAGGGCCGCCGCCGCTGTCGCCGCGCCGTCGCCGCGCGCCCAGCAGCAGCAGCAGAGGCACGCCGGCGCCAGGGGCGCCGCGCGCCGCGCCATCCACCAGCCTCGCTAGAAAAGAGCACTTCTGCTCTCATGGCGGGCCACCACCACCACCAGTCCATGGCTGCTGTGCCTAGTGTAACCTCAAGCAAGCGTAGTCTGTTTCTGTGTATACGACTAAAAAACAGGGGGAGATTCGGCCAAGGCGGCAAGTGCTCTCTCCTCGTAGCTAGCTTTTCTCCTGTTCAGCTCAGTTCTTGTTCATCCAGCCGTGTTAGAAAACAAAACAAACCCAAAAGAGAGAGAGAGAGAGAGAGAGAGAGAGACGGAGTGATGTACTGCTCCTCCTCCTCCCATGTCCATGTTGTTGAATATATGATGGCAAGCAGTCTGATCTTTACGTCTCTTCACCAGTTGCTTCTTGTTCATTGTCCTCGAAATCATTTTGTGTGTGTGTGTAGATCAAAAGTTTTCAAAAGGTGCTGCACTGGCCATCACATTGCATGGAGGATTAAATGTAACAGAAAAAGAACTAATTGCATAGTTTAGTTGAAAATTGTGAAACGAACGTTTTAAGTCTAATTAGTTTATGATTGAACACTAATTATCAAATAAAAATGAAAATACTATAGCTAAATTCATGAACTAAACACAGCCTGGATCTTGCTGTGTTTCAGTGTGTTCTCTTCTCTGATTTGGGAGCTGGAAAGTGTGTGTTCTCTGTCTGCTGAACTTTGGTGATGGTGACTTCGCTTCTGGCCCTGCCTTTGGCGATGTCATCCATGGTGATTACAAGCGGTTGGTGAAGTAAGACTGGGGCAACTGGTTTATGGTTCTTGGGGAAATGGTGGTGGTTGGTGAGTGGCAGTACAGGAGGAGGTACGAGCACCATCAAGTCCCTCAAAGAGTGCAAGAGAGTACGGTACTACAGTGTGTACAGCTGTTCGTCGGTGGGTTTCTGGGCTGACTACAGTGAGTATAGCCGTTAGTTGATCGGTTTCTGGCCTGATAAGTTTAGCGGTTGCTCGTTCGTTGAGGAAAACGTTATTGGCTAGCTGATAATCTTGAGTTGTCGACTTCAGGATCCTACATGTGCCAAGCTACTCTCCACTCTACAGATGACTCTTTGGGATGTCAAGCGGTCTGCATCCACTGAAAAGAATCGGTACTTGAAACAGAGGCCGTAGGAAACACTGATGAATATGAACCACTGATTTTGCCTGCTCGGCAATACCACCAAGCAACCTTGGGACGGCCGGCCAGCTGCACTGCCTGCCAACAGGTGTAACTGATGGTGGTTCTAAAACAGAATTTGCCTGATACCACAAAGCAACCGATGGTAGTTTAACAACAGATTGCAACAATATCGCATAGATTAGCTCAGTTTGCTGTACATTTGCGATATCATCAGATTGCCTATGTGGCAACCACTTCAGTCCATTCGTCACACTTGTCCTCTCTTGGAATATTGTTTCAACAACCAACTGCATTTAGAAACCAGGTTTCTGTTGGCGCAGTGTATATAAATCATAAGAAAGACTTTGCAAGCCACAACGAAACTTCATGTCGGCCACGCACCTTCCCTACAGCCGTCAGGATCCATGAAAGGGATACGACACCTTCAAAATGAAATAATTTGAAGCTTTCCTAACATGCTAATCATGCTTGCAAGGTACATACACCAGCTGAAATTGTCCTGCAACTCTTGATGACACTCCCAAAGACCATGGCACGCTGATGGCAACGTCTTCTTCTCAACCAATTCAGAGAACCATGGCATGCCACATGCAACCAATCACACCACCATTTCAGCAGCTGTCAGCGACAGGGGTGACCATGATTAAACATACCATGATTACTTCGCTGGTCATTACAATGATGAGCAGTTGAATTTTACAGAACCTCAAAATGGGCTGAAGACAAATCCCCCTCTCGCTATATGACCAAGCATATATAATAATAAACACAGGCAGCACCAAGGTACTTCACATAAATACTCTGCTGTTACTCGGCAGCTACATTAACAGGACGATAGTTAGATGGTATATCTGGATGTTTAAGCAGCAGCAATACGAAAGAGCAACTAATCAACTACGTAGTGCTTTCAGACTTGTTTGTAGAAGAGGATATATGCTTGGTCATGCAAGACATCATTCTCGCCAACGGGCACAACAGCGTCATCGTCGAAGCGAAGCCATTGCCCGTTGGCATGCTTTGCGTGAGCAGTGTAGTGCCCCCTGTATGGGTCCCTCCCATGATGAGTGATGGTTGCAACAAGCTCATAACTTCGACCCTGTACACAACAAAGGCGAACAGTTAGATCAAGTGATTTAGTAGTACCAATCAATTGTAATGTCATTTCAATGTGTTACGACCACATGATCGCTGTACAAACTCAATTCATGCTTAAAGATACTGATACTAAATGTCAAACAATCAGGACATCAGATGCAACTAGAGACATAAAGCATGCCTGCACCTACAAACCCATATAAGATGTCACAAATATGTTGGGGAAAAAACACATTTACAAATGCATGTCGAGCAAATTATCACCTCTGTTGATGGTGAGCTCAGCAGATCACGACTAAGAACCAGTTCTTTTGGGAAGTGGAGTGGCTTATAGACTTTAGTGGTCCCATGATTTCCATAACTAAACCTCTTCAAGTGCAGTATCATTATCTTTGAAAGCGCGTGTATCTTGAATGATTTTCTAGCTGTCACCAAACCAGCCTGCAAGATCAAGTTTGATGCTACATTATAACTGTAGCTGACTGCAATAAGTTACTGTGTCTGTTTAATGAAAGAAGAGCTGCACTATGGCACCCAAAATAAATAAAATGGAGAAAAGTACAGGTCAGGCTAAATTTAACTTATAGCAATTTCAAGAGAAAAGCCCATTAATAAATAGAAAAAAGTTAACATACAGGTCATAAACCCACCTTAAATAGAGGCACGAATAAAAAACTCATAAAAAGCATTCTAGAAATGCATCTAAAGGTAAAACAAACTAGAAGATGCATATTTTGCAGTTTCGTCTTTACAAGTCACTCGCTAGCAAAATGCATTTCACGACACCACTTGTATTGTGTGATGATGAAATTAGATGCTAAAGATATACTAAACACAAAGGTGACAAGGTAGATACCTTTCCAGCAGCTGTTCTGTATCCTTCCAAAGATTCAGGAGTATAGAACAGACGAAGTGCATCATTAAGTGTCTGAACAGCGTCTGGGAATATATCAAGATGGAGCAGTAGGAAGGGCTGAACAGTAGCTGATGCTTTGTTACCTGGAAGGTGTATTCATCAGTATACAACACTGAAAAGACGGATAGGAAACAGCACAAGTGGGCCTACTCAAACATAAGTTTCAGCCTATCCCTATGGTGAATAACTAATGCGATCATGATATCATATTCCATTGCAAAAAAGACGGATAGGAAACAGCACAAGTGGGGGCAGTTTTAACTTAGCAGGGTAGCTGGGTTAGTGCTGAGATGCATTCGTGCATTATTATCTTCAATGGCAATGACAACAACGTAGAATTACCTTACAGGACACAGAAAAGTCCTAGATCCTTTCTCATTATGTCAAAGGGCTAACATAGACAGACACTTCATTAATCGACAACATGTAGAATGCTCTTGAAACATGAACTATTGAGCCTGATATTGGGCTGGTTAGAGACGAAAAAAAGCAATGACAGCATGCACAGCAGGAGGCAAAAGGTGACTACAACCAGATAAACAGGGAATGTGTTCATGGAAACATGATGCGGGCATAACAAATCAAGAAAAACTGAAAAAGCACAACTTTCCAAGTTCTTTCAAAGAGATATAGCTAGATAGATATACAGTTGTTTACAGAAAAACTGAGTCATCTCCCTCAGGACAAGACAAAATTTACCTGCAGCTTTCACAACACTCTGTAGCTGCCCTCCAAAAATAGCACTTAGCTCAGAGGGAACAAAACTCTGAGTTCTAACTATTGCAGATTTGTTCTTTCGTCCAACTGTCTCCCAAGCATCATCATCCACAGAAGAAACAACCATACCCTCCTTGGAATTTGATCCATTGCCATTAAGCTTCAGCAGTTCATCATGCATTCTATCCATGGCAAAACTTAAAAACTCTTGAGCATCTTCCTGCCTGCAGAGCGCAAAAGTGCATATGTTATGGTGGGCCAGGTGTATCAACGCCGTAAGTGGAGCCGTGGCTGAGGAGTGCGCAGGCGACACGCACGGCGCGCGGCTCAGCATGGTGATCGCGTCCAGAGTGGGCGCCGTTCATAGATTATAGGATCTCAGATTTGGAATTGTTATTCAGTTTGTGATTTGTTAGGATTTGGCTATAAAGCCCAAACACTTGGTTAACGAGAAACTCAGCTGGAGATTGATTGCAATCTCTCCCGCTCTCTCTCTCACGCGCGCACTCAACCTCGCTCTCTCGCTCATGACACCGGCCAACAGGACGGCGTCGCATCCTCGCCGCCGCCGCCGGGAACCCAAGCCTCGCCCTCCTACACACCACGATTACTTCCTGCGCGGTTGTAGTAGCGACCCCAACAGCATATAGCATCACAAACTAAACCAAAAGCTTAATTGCAAGGGAGACAACAGTTTATAAAGGACATTAACAAGGGCGTACCCAGTGCTGTGCGGGGTCTGGGGAAGGGTGTCAGTGGCAAGCCTTACCCTCGCCTGTGCAATGCGAGAAGACCACGACTCGAACCCGGGACCTTCCGGTCACAGGCGGTAAGACTCTACCGCTTGCACCAGGCACGCCCTTCAATAAAGGACATTAACAAACAAAATTAAAAAGATAACAACATGCTCAATGTGTTTACAGACAACTTTATCAGAATAAACTCGATATTGATGCCTATGGTCACCATGAAAGGCCCACAGCCCATTTAGGAGGTGAATTTGGCATTTGGGAGACTCTGAAAATGATCATGTGACCATGATTGCAAGCAAAGCTTGCAACATAGATACACAAGATTTGAATCAGCTAAAACCCTATAAATATGTAGTCATCCAGGTCTTTGCAACTTGCTACTCAATGAGATAAATCCTTTATGGCCTAAATGCTATATTCGATTCGGAATCCACAACTTGAGGAGTTTTGCTCAAGGAAAAAACATACCAAAGAACAGAGCCACAAGCACTTACCTTGGCCGAGCAGTTACTCCAGCCGGCACATCTGGTGTAAAGTTTCTGAGAACAGCATCAAACATGGCAGGATTAAGTGGTTTTGCAGCAACAGTAATAGCCTTCTCATTTTTCTTGATAACTGACTCCTCAGCCACATCGAATTGAGAGATCAACTCAACAAATGCACTCAGAGTTGGGTAGCCAACCTAAAATGAAAGAAGTGGTCAGAACAAAGGAAATCAAATAAGCGCCAAAATTGCATCAGACCGATTTGATTAGGTACAAGTACCTTAGGTATACTACGGTTCCTCAAATCCTGCAATAGGTGGACAAAAGGCGAGCATGAAAGCAATGCCTGCAAAGTTGCATTCAGAAAGCAGATATTTCCTGTGTTCCTCAAACCATGTGGAAGCAAGGGCATGTTCTGAGAGGCCTTCTTATTTAGGCTAGTGACTGCCTCTTCTGCTGGAGCTGCAACAATGGATGTATCGACAATTGGGCTACCATTTTCAGTAATTTCCCTTTCCTTGTCTAACTTTCTACTTTGAGTGGGTTCGATGCCATCCTTGTGCACCTCCAACGTCATTTGTGGTGTTGGATTGCTGATGCTTTTGACAGGCACAACTGGTGGGACAACAGTCTCTGTCTTCTTCACATTCTCAAATACACCATTGTTAGCAGGAACATTAACAGGGGGGCATCCATTAGCCAGAACTAGTCCACCATTTGGAAGGCTTGATCCTGCAGCTTTCTTTTCATTACCACAAGCATTCTCCTTTGCGATGGCACTGGTCTCGCCGTTTGCTGATTTTGCAGGAAGAACAACACTTGAAATAGACATTTTCTCTAAATTCAGCACTGAAAAGTTCAGGGTGCCAAACTGGATCTCCGTCCGCTCACATTCTTTGCTGACGCTTTTAGTTGGACTTTTGAGAGGCTGACCCTGGAACAACTTAGTCTCATCCTCCGTAAAGGACCCAAACAGCAACATCTGCATCACAGACAGAGCAACTTTTATTGTTAACAAGTAACTTACGCAGCAAAAAAATCTACTGCATATCAAAATAATTGTACAGAGAGCCCTTTGGAAAGGGGCTATATGCATTTAAGGATACTTTAATTTCAGCTTTGAATTACAGCAGAATACTGCTATACTCCCACGCGCATCACACACACAATCGTCGGGAGCCAGAATAGCATAGCAGTTATCAATGATCATAATCCAAATGAACATCCAAATAGAGTCCATGGTTCGATACATATGAATTAATTGCTTATGCATCCAGTAACGGGGATACAACGATTCATACACGCGCGGCAGCATTGAATCATCGTGCCTGCCAGGTACTACAAAACCCCCAATCCAATCTAACTCGCCCGCACCACCAACCTTCAACCACCCCGCCTCACTTTAATGCGCCACGCCATGGGAGCCAGACAGGCAGTACCGACAGTTAAACCACGCAATTACGCCCAAACGACGACGCCAATGCAAGCACGCGGACAGTACCTTCTCGCCGCCGCCGCCGCCGCTCATCTCGGCTGCAGTGGGGAGGCCAATCGCTGGGCGCAGGAAGCGGCCGCTCGGGGGACGACCTCTTGAGAGCTCTTCTGCGACCGGGGCCAGAGGAAGCCGACGTCGCAGGTGGGAGACATCAAAGGCGAAGGCGGCGGCCGGCGGCGCCGATGGGGGTGGCCGTCCGCGCGGCCGACCGCACGGCAGGGTCCGGTTCGGCGCCGGCGCTGCGCTGTGGGGTTGGGCGGCGGTGAGTCGGGGACGTCGAAGGCCGGGGGCCGAGGTGTAGGGTTTGGGGAGGGGAGAGGCGAGGTGGGGCTGGAACTGGAAGCCTGAGTCTTGGGAGGAAGGAGGACGGCACGGGGGCATTTGACGAAGGGTTGCTTGGGTTGGTGGTATTTGTCGATGCGGGCGGGCGATTCGTGGGCTTGGGCTGTACCTTGTACGTGCGGCGCCACGGGCCTGACCGCGCGCTTTTCTTTGCAGTTGGTGAACGAACTCGCTTTGGACTACTCGCAGCGTGTGCTTAAAAAAAGGTCCATTTTATTCTAAAAAAAAGTACATTTTAAGTCCATGAATCTGATTTGCTTCTGAACTTTTAAAAATTAATAAACCATACAAATTACCTCTCTATTCTGTTTGTGGTTTCTAGACAGATTTTTATTTTTTCTTAAAAAATCTCTAAATACTTAATAAGATTATTAAACCATAGAAAGTATCTCTAAGATTCTAGAAACCTTGTCAATTATTTTCTAGATTTTTAACTAATTTTTTTTGACGAAACTGTCTTCTAAATCATTTCGAACCAGAGATAAGATGTATCACTTTGGAATCGATAATGATACGCCACGGGCGTCCGTCCCGACTCCTTCGTGCGCCCTGCGTTGTGTCGCTCGCGCCTTGCCCACCCGCACACCGTTGCTCGCTCCCATCCGCACCCTCGTCCACCTCGCCCATCACGGTCGAAGAGGCAGGGGGAGGCCAGGAGCATGTGCCTGCGCCCCCATCCACCTCACGCAGTCGGCGAGAAGGGAAGGCCTGCGCCACCACAGTTCCCCACCAGGTAGGGTGTGCCCGTCGGCGATGTTATGTTTTCGAGTGTTTTAGGTGTTTTTAGACATGTTGAAAGTCTATGTTTTAAGTGTTTCAATTGTTTCAGACGTATGTTTTAAGTGTTTTATCTGGATGTTGCATATGTTGCTATGGCTATACACGCATGTTTTAAGCATATGTTTCAGATGTTTTTAGACTTATATTGCAAGTGTTTCATCTGGATGTTGTAAAAGTAGATCTAGATATGCATATGTTGCTAATTTGCTATGGCTATGCACACATGTTTTAAGGATTCATCGGTTTCCAGACGTACGTTGAAAGTGCTTTATCTGGATATTGCATATGTTGTAAGTGTATGTTCCTAATGTTTCATCTGTTTTATACGTATGTTTCAATTATTTCATCTTAGTGTTGTAAAAGTAGATATGGATATAGGTGTGGAGGAAGTCTAAGCCCTCGGTGGTCCAGTTGTTGTGGCTCCTTGGTGTGGCGAAGATAGAGGCCACGGACACGAGAGCGGTGGGGGATGGGCTGCCACGATGGATCGCCCGAGATGTAGAGCAGGATGGGCGTGGCATGGCTCATCGGGTGGGATGGGACATAGGCCTCCATGCTGCGTGCGTCGGGCGCTGGTGCAGGAAGCTCTGTTTGGACGGAAGCTACCTCCGGAGCGCGGATGGGCGTGCGTCGGGGCTCAGGTCTAGTCGTGCGTTAGGTGCAGGCGCGGGAAGAGCCTACAGACGAACGCCATATTCGGACGTTCAGGAGCTAGTCTCTTTGTTTTAGAAGTTGACAAAAAAAAAATAGACTGCGGTGATCACGAACCTAAAATGGACTTTTCCTCCCGTGCTTCTAGCCGTCCAGTTCACCATGAAAACTAGCTGCGTTCTTTGGAATTCAGCTTGCATTAGTAATTAGTTGCAATATCCCATGTGCATCAAAAAATGCATTTCTTTTTGTTTTCGTTTGGCACTACGGTGTTTTTTAATAAATATTTCTGTTAGTTTAAAAAACTTCTTCTTGTTTACATAATGTTGATCTTTTATAAAAGATTATAGTTAGTTAAAAAAATTTTAGAAAAAAACATAAACACGGACCCACCTATAAGGCGAGCTTGGGATATTGCAACTGGAAACACAAATCCTCAAATTTGGAATTTCAAGCTCATCAAATATCGTGTGGCTGTGCGCTGGTAACATCAAATGAACTTATTCGACTTGTTCGATTTGTACCAAATTTTGATCACCTATTCACCTACAATGTCAGCTTGGAGCATTGTAGGAGTTAAACAACCGTTTAAACCTGTACAACGCGTCACTAGTATAGCAGAGCTCACTGCTGACAGTTTCAAAGCTATTTATGTCAGTACCGTCGATGGCAAAGGCTAATGAAAATTATAAACTTCATAAGCGTATTCTAGAGAACCGCTAGTACAAGTGATTTACATTGGTTGTATTCTCAAGAAAACTATCACTACAAATGATTTACATTGTCTGTTTTTTTAAGAAAACCTCTACTACAAATGATTTTCAAAAATTACAAATCGGACTCAAAAAATACAAAAAAATAATAATTCGATGAGGCCCCCCACCAGTCAGGCACCCGCTCGCTCCGTCAAATTCAAAAGTCACGGTATTTTTCGCGCACTTCGCAGCCAGCAGGATTCAAACCCACAACCTCTCCCTCGCACGATACTCTAACCACTGCACCTCACACTCACTTATATCTATAATTGATTTTTTTCTCCTCATATTATCCCCAATCGAGTTTAAATTGATTGTTTGAGACCCTAAATGAATTCAAATTAAAAAGTTGTCAACTATAAAGTTGCATAATTTTTTAAGATCTACAACTTTTATTTTGGTTGTTTCTCCATCCGAGGTCATTTGAAAAATTCAAATTTCAAATTTAAGAAATTTAAACGTAGTTTTCATGATTTTAAATGAAAAGTTGCCAACTATAAAGTTGCATAACTTTTTGAGTTCTACAACTTTCGTTTTGATTGTTTCTCCATCCGAGGACGTTTGAAAAATTCAAATATCAAATTTGAGAAATTCAAACATAGTTTTCCCTGATAAAATGATTTCAAATAAAAATGTTGTCAACTATAAAGTTCTAGAAATTATCGAGATCTGCAACTTTTATTTTCATCATCTTTTCATGTAACTTGGTTTGAACAATTTAAATTTTGAATTTCAAAAAATAAGAACTTCAACAAGATTTTGAAACAACAAAGGATTTTGGCTGCAAAAGTCGTCAACAACAAAGTTGTAGAACTCATTAAGGTCTACAACTTTTGTTTTAGTCATTTATTCATCCGACAAAGTGGTAGTCTATATTGTTCACAAATTCATAAATCTCTCACATAGTTTATGAAACTATATAAGAGATATGTCATTTATGAACGATGTTTACTGCCACTTTGTCGGATGAAGAAATGATCAAAATAAAAGTTGTAGATCTTGATGAGTTCTACAACTTTTATGTTTATAACTTCTTCAGCTGAAATCATTTGATGTTTCAAAATACTATTTAAAAATGTTATTTTTTGAAACTCAAAATTTGAAATGTTCACGAGAAAAGATGACCAAAATATTAGATGTAAGAACACAATAAATTGATAGAACATGATTTTACAAAATTAAAAAAAAAGTAATTTAAAGATAGTACGAGGGAGAAAGACTAGTTAAAAGTTTTAGCCAGAGATTAAAAAGAGAGATTATAGTTCTTCAACCATTTAAAATTTGAATTTCAAACAACATTTTGAAACATCAAATGATTTGAAATGGAAATGTTGTAAACAATAAAGTTCTATAACTTTTCGAAATCTACAACTTTTATTTTGTTCATTTCTCCATCTAAAATCGTTTAAAAAATTCAAAATTTAGTACTTAATTTTAATATTCGGCGTCTATTCGTAGTGATGCTAGGTTATGAAAACCGCCACTATAAATATATTTTTACTGGCTATTTTTTAAAGCTACCGCTAGTATAAATCATGTATTTTTATTGGCGGTCAACTTAAGAAAACAGCCAGTAAAAATAAATTTACACTGGTGGTTCATGATTTAGACCCACAGTTTTATTTCTAGTGGCACCTGCTCTTTCCGAACCGCCAGTGAAAAAAAGGTGGCGCCAAAAAAAGCACCAGTGTACTAGTGCATGACACTTGTGTGCGCGCTTGCATTGCTTTTGTTTTTTTAATTAAGGAAAAAACATTCAGCAAGTGATTGTGTACAGCCACACGATACAGAAACACAGCACTGAGGCCAAAACGAAAACCGGTTACGCAATCTAGAAACAACTAAAACTAACAAAAGCAGAACAGCTCCTCTAAGAGCTGATGTTAAAACACATAACCCTTAAGTTTTAATCCTCTTTAGATGTCTCCACCAACGCTTTTCGAAGACTTCCAACATCAAAGCTTATAGTAAATGATAACCTTCCTTCATCTGCCTTCCCTCTTTCTCTTGAGACAGCTATGACCAAAGTCTAATCCAGTATGTTCCGCTGAAAATCACCTTTGTTACTGCTATCAAAGTCTTCCCTCTTTCTCTTTAGATAGCTTGCATTCGCTTTTTGTGGTGGGTTGGCGACATTGCTGCTTGAATAAACAACGGACGACTAAGAAATACTCTAACCTTTGGTTAGGTGATCTAAGTAGCACTCCTCAGGGTTTTGAGTTTGACTTTCCGTGGGAGTGAGAATTTCATGCTGGATTAAAAAAACTCCTAGTTTGTCCCATATCAAATCATCAGTAGTTCAAGGGTTTTCTCAACCTGCGTGAGAAGATCTTCTTCTTAATGTAATACTGCCCGAGGGCTATCTTACCCCACGGGTCGAGTTTTTTTTATTATTTTGGGAGGTTCGATCGAATGCACTCCCTAGGTGCGGCTCCCAAGGCGAGGGCATAAAACAAATAAGTCCTAGAGATGCCGAGAACCCTAGAACAAGATTTAGTGTTCAAC